TCAACTTCGGCGGACAATATGTAAAAAGTTTAACCAAAACTACAGAATGGAGTTGCCAAAGCCGTGGAGAAAAAAGACACAGGCAGCCTGGCGAACAGTTGTTGCTCCGTGGAGTCCTTGCAGCGCTCGCTCGTTCAGGATAACATCGCCAAATGAGATTAGGAAGGACATTCGCGTATTTAACACAGACGGACGCAACTGAAACTGCTACCAAGAGCGGAGCATCGTGGTAACTGGTAACTGGTTACCAGTAGGATATCCTGACTGCCTGTTAGCCCGTTCGGACTGCAGCCACACTGGCAGGATGAGGTCCTGTCCCGCTGCTGCTGCTGGGTAGCCATTCTGTGGGTTTTCATTCGTTTTTCGTTTTTGGGGAAAATGTTCAACAGGGGAATTTTGGGGGATGTGGGGCTTGCGTGGGGTGGTCAGACTGCTAATATTGTGTACCATGCTTAGCGCCTCTGTTGTCATTGCAGGAAGTTGCAACAGTTTGAGGCATTGTAATTGCTTTTTTGTTTGTCCCTGCGAGGCAAGGGGCTTTTTGGGTTCCCCAGACCATCTCGAATTGCAGCAAATTTTTAATTAGTTTTTTTGATTTTTTTCATTGTCATTTTCGGGGCAATTTTTATGTTTCCACCGCCTGAGGTTCAGCAACTGACACCAGCCTTAAATTGGGTTTTCAAAGGATTTTTGGTTGGTCGGGGGAGTGGCGGGTTCAGACACATTTGCTAACGAGTTAAAGCGAAGATAAACCGAGAGTTATGCTCCTTGACAAATCGTTTGCTGTTCATTTTTGGGTGCGGAGATGTAAGTGAAACATTAATAGCCAACCTCTAAGGTTTCATTTTAACATTCCTACAAGGTCTTAACGCTTTTTTATGGTATGTTAGACTCCAAGTTGGACTCCTCCTGCATTTACAATTACATTAATTAAAATGCAATTTCTTGCAGAAATCCAAAAGCTTATCCTTTGTATCTGCGTTCCTGAAAATAAAAAATCCAACCGCAGAGTACAAACCAAAAACAGCTGCTCAAAGTTCTACCCCAAACCTCAAAATAAACAAAAACAGAGCACGTATAATTAAATACGTTGTGAGTATTCCATTGCGGGAAAGTTCACACAGGGAAAGCCAAAGCAAATCTTGCATCTGGTGGCGTCCATGGTGGAAACTTCATTGCAATTATGAAATTTTAGACATTTTGATGTACTGCAGCATGTAAAGCTCCCCTTGCCTTCCATTCTTTGTTGTCCAAAAAAAGATGGCCAGCAAAGTTGTTTGGCTAGGAAAACATGAGACGAGTGTCGACGATATGGGAATTGTAAAAAGAAGTTATTGCTACCAGTCGGGTGGGTTTTTGGTGGGTGGAAATCAAATTGGGCATTTGATTATGAAATCAGATACTTTTTTGGGCTTGCAGTTTTCACTGGCAAAACGTACATTAATATTGTTGGTAATTGCTTTGCGTTGTTTGGGGTACCATTAAAGAAAACCCGTATCTAATATCACACAATTTACGCATTTTTAAAGATAGTTCTTTAATACGCCGAGGTAATCTAAAAATTCCAATAAGCCGTAAAACTCAATGGGTTGGATATAAATTCACTTTTATTTCCAACAGTAATTGAAAGTACATTTTCCCACCGAATTGAGCAACCGATGGCTGTAAGCAACGGATGAGTTGTGTTGGTCCAGGGAAGAACCACATAACATCAATTATAAATGCACTCGATAAATTATTTCCAAGTATTAACCTGGCTTTCAGGCACTTCAACGGCAGTGGCCCATGTGGATGGGAATTTATACTCTAGCATAAGTACCTTTCATGGCTAGGTGTGTATTTACAAAAATTATTTTCAGTTTACTTTAGTTTACAGTTAGTTTGCCAAGGAAAACTAAACCGAAGAGTGTTCTTCTTACTTGAACTCTGTTTTTCATTTTCCTTCCAGCATAATTTTGTGTGTGTTTGTAAGTGTGTGTGTGTTTAGGTGAGCTTAAAATGGCCACATTCGTGCACGTGCTTGTGCACTGGTGTTGGTGTTAAGCACTTCCGGTTGGCTGCTCGACTGCTCACCTGACATCCGCTCCCCACTTCGAAGGACTCCGGGGGCTGGGAGAATCCTCTGTGGCTTCGACCCGCACTTGCACCTCTTGGCTTCTGACAGATCCCCATTTTCCACTGCCATCCACTCCCACGTGATGGTTTGATTTTTCATTAAGTTTTCAGGGGGAGCTGCAGCGTAAGTCACTTCTTTCTTGGTTTTCTTTTCACCGGGTATCGTTAGTAAAAATTATTTTCAATTAGCCAGCTACACAACTGCTGTACAGCGAAATGGATGGGCCACAGTTTTCGGTTTCCTTATTTGGATTCCCAAGCTCGCTGCTTTCCACTTTCCTTATTGGCCTCAAAAATGCAAGGAAATCGGGCACAGCTGTGGATAAAAATGGTGCACGAAGCCAACGTTCAGTTTACACATATGCGGAGCAGATATTGATTTAAATTCATATTTTTACGTGTTCAGCATAAAAATGCATATAAAATATACTTAGCTTGTTTGTAATTATTAAAGTGTAGTGACGTGACAGAAGTCTACTCTAACATGCACACTTGGACATACAAAATATATTAAAACTGATAAAATATTTCATATTATTTGACAGCTAATAATTTAATAATATGCATCGATTTATTTGTTTGCAAAAGTTGACAGATACCAAATAATATTGTAAAAATATCAAATTTTACAAAAGTGTAGAGGATTGGCCAAAGTTTTAGAAGCATTACTGCTGACAATTAAGAAGCATTTAAATAATGGCCTATTAAATTAGAGTGCAATTGCAAACTTAATGGTAATTGAAGTAGTTGCGGGCTACTTAATCCTGCTGCGCTTGGAAATGCCCTTTAATTTCAAAAGCCGGACTCCCGAAAGTAGACAACACTTGGTGTGCTTGCCGTTGTTGCAGCTGACAAGCCAAAGAGTTCCAGTTGTTGGTAGTTTCCCCGCCCGAAAAACAATGGCAAAACAATGCGGTGGGCGTGGCCAATGCGCCCCTCTCCAACCACAACAGCTGGTGCTTGACCTAAGCCTGGCCAGAATTGGGAAAGAAAGCCAAACACTCAAAGTTTACCCCTTTGTAGCCCATTCAAATGCAAATCGGTGCGCAAATCTTCAAATGGCTTCGATTGGTTTTCTGGCCTCGGCTTTTGTTTCTGCCGGCAAACTGTGCCACGCAGAGAGGTCCTGGACAAAGGACCTGCTGTCTTTGGGCACTTCTAATCGGACTCCGGAGAAACATGTGGAGGCATTAAACAATGGTGGCCACAGAATTTGAATGAATTTTCCCAAAAACCAAATTGACAATTTAATTTGCTGCTGAGCGTTGTTTTCAGTGCCCCTTTCCAGTGCCTCTCCATATCTTCCTCTGTTTTTGAAACTTTATGAGGCCAAGTCCCATTTGCATTTCTGTGAGAACTCGATTTCCGCTCGGTCAAGTGACATGATTGATACTCCGGGCGCCAGGCGTCTGAATGATTCCATTGGATCGGGATTGGGCTTGGGAGTGAGAGTGGACGTGGGTATGTCCTTGCCTCGCCCGTCGTCTGCGGGCGTAAAAACAACACCCCGGGGCTGTGACATCTCCGGTCATGTCCAGCAGTCGGTGGCGACACACGGGCGGAGTCCGCAGACGGACATGCCCATGGAGACGGGACATGCAGCCGGGCGAGGAGAACAATGCACCGAAGGGGAGGAGGAGCAGCGCATCACATCAAGTAGCCGACACGTTGCAGCTTACAAAGTTGTGTAAAATGATTTTTGTGCCCAGCGCTGACTACCAGAAAAGAGGGACTCAAGCAGTTCGTGAGCTCAAAGGTTTGGTCCTCCATGGAGGGAATTCCTGAAATTAAGCTTGAGATGGAGGGGTTAAGATAATAATGGGACATCAGACCAGTAGAGGTGCTTAGAAAACAGACAGAAATTGTAGTTTTATGAATATTTGCAGGAGCAATATAAATAGACCAAGCAATTAAACGATTCAGCTAAAATCAGTTTTTGTATTACATTATAAAGCAGTAATTAATAGTTAATTACATTTGCCAGCGTGCTGAACATCTTCATTCCAGGGTAAAGATCCATCGAGTTCGCCCAACCAACTCAGAGTTAGCTGGTTTGATTTTCGGTTTAATATGATTTCCAGCATAAACCTCGCCTCTGTGCAATCAGCCCGAATTCTCCACATTCTTCTGTGAGCAGTTTATTCGGCCTTTATTTTAGAAATTGAAACTAGTGGCAGCCCGTCCTCTGGGGCGGCGTATCGAATGCTTGTTTGTTCTACTGGTTTCGGACTCAGACTGCAAACAATTAAGTTTGCATCTATGGAGTGACACTTTTATTTTCTTGTGGTTTGCAGGCACACCCCAAAAAGGACTCGCACACATGCACACACATGCACAGACATATGTGTGCACGGTGTCAGTGGCAATTTCGGTTTTTTGGCAACTGCACGGAGTCCTGGAGGGGACTTTCCCCCTTCGAAGTGTCAGATGCAATGGAGTTTTAAATAAAATGTACTTGCAATAAATTTGCAGCAGCTCTATAGAAATATATTATCAGCATATGCTGGCAACTGCTGTTTTTTTTTTTGGCACGCCACAAGCCTCTTGTCCGATTTAAATATTTAATCTGATTTCATGTTTCAGTGCGTTTCATGGTAATTTACAATAAGTCTGCTGTTGAGTGAGTCAGTGCGCAAAGAAAGCAACAAAATTTCAAATGTATTTACAGCAGCTTTGCCTTCTGAATATTTATGCATTCAAGTGACGTTCAGCACTTTAATTGGGCCCACAATAATTACTTTAAAGATTCAGTTTGTCCACGTTCAAGCCAACTTGGGAGTTATGCCAAAGTAATTTGGAATTCGGGCTTAATAATTGTGCTGTATAAAGTCTCTTAAAGCTGCTCGAGTTAACACACAGCAAATATAGCAACTCAGCTAAACAACTCAAATTGATTTGACTTTAATTAACATCGTTTTATCTTCCAAATGGTGCTTACATTTGAAAGCCATATATGATGATTATTAGTAATTAAGCCACTTATCTATATTTACTATTACGTATAAAAGTAAGCTGTAATTGAGCTATTTTAAAATATTAACATTACTAATTGTAGTAGTAGTGTACATTTGTCTAAGTAAAACTAAACAGCTTCTTAAGCTTCCTAAAAACCAAATTAACTAAACATTTAGATAACACAGAAAATGGGGTCCTACTTCTTAAGACATTGATATTTACGTACATTTGGATTGGTATAATATTAAATTTAGACCCTCTACACTTCGCCATTGTCCACTTTCCGCATAAGTTCTATCACGCGATCGTTGATGGCGGTTTTCACGTCTTTCCCCAAAATAAAGATGATGTGGTTGTACAGAGGATCTGGATATAGGTAATCGAGCACTACATTTGGCAGGATATCACGTAACCGAACCACATCCTTGACGGATGCTAGGCGATCGTTTTTACCGTAGTACAGTGCCACCTTGCAGTCGACGTTAGTTAGTTTGTACTGTGGCGGGTTGTCGGCTCCGTGGTTTCTTCGATTCTCCCAGGTGCTGTAGTGGTTATACTTGAAGAATCCTCCGCTGTGGATCTGCTGGCCATAGTGATCCAGGGACTTAACCGATGTTCCCGAGGGTGTGTGTCCCGTTAAGAGCGGAATGAGCGTGGAGTTGAATTGGGCGTAATCCACGCCCATGATTTCCATAATGAAGTATGTGCAGGTGTTCTGGAAGGCGAAGCTGCAGATCTTCTGGATCAGACTTCGCCACACCTCGTTCTCCGGCGGCAATTCGTAAATTCCAAACGTTCTGGCGAAGGACTGAAAGTCAAACAGGTTGATGATATAGTATTATAGTTCGTATTATAGTTATACCCGTTAATCGTAGAGTAAAGGGGTATACTAGATTCGTTGAAAAGTATGTAACAGGCAGAAGAAAGCGTTTCCGACCATATAAAGTATATATATTCTTAGCTCTAAATATTTCTGGCGCAATTCTCTAAAAAACTGCATTTAAATTTAGAAATTAATTTTTTTTAGAATTTTTTTTATTTCCGGAACTAAAAGCTAGAATGTTGAGATTAAGCATGAAGCTTCCAGAGACATAGACGGAGCGCAAGTTTGTTGCCAGGCCCACACTTTTGAAAAATGTTGTGATACTTTGAAATTTTTTGTATATCTTGTAAAGTTCTATAGATTTACAAAAAAAAGTTTGCCACGCCCACACATTTTAAAAATTTGTAAGTCTTTTTTTCATTTTATTATTTGTTACCCAATTTCTACCGATATTCCAGAAACTATTGAAATTTCTCGTTTGCACTTCCACTAGCTGAGTAACGGGTATCTGATAGTCGGGGAACTCGACTCTAGCATTCTATCTTGTTTTATATGTATTCTGTTTACTTACCACCAACGGTCTCAAGTACTTTACAAAAGTGAGAAGAATCGGTGAATCGATGTAGTCCCAATATACAACCGGAGCCAGGGCCTGCATAAGTTTGATCTTTTTCATGTAGGCCGGTTTCTCACTGCCCATCACAAAGAAGGATGTAGTGCCCTGTGAGTGGCCCACATAGTGGAGCTGATCGAAGCCCTTGCTCCTCGCAAGGACATAATCAATGGCCGCTGGAAGATCGTACATCCCGAGCTCATGGAAGGAGAAGTTCCAGAACTGCGGCTGGTATCGGTGGTATCGCTTGTGCTTCCGTGAATACCGATTGCCCCTCGTGTTCAGTAGCCAAACATCGTATCCCTGATCGCTGAGCAGGTAGCCCAAGGACCTTTGGGGGCCCAGTATCACAAAGGTCACCGAACTGTCACCCAGGCCATGTACCAACAACACGGGCTGTCCTCCGGGCCTGGGAATGCGATGAGCCGTAAGGACGAAGCCGTCCTTGGCCTGGATCTTGTGGGTTTCCGCCGGATACCCATACTTCCTGATCAGATCCGGCTGGGTGGATATTAAAATATATTACTTGAATTATGTATCATAATTGTATGTTGTTACCGTGTTCAGGCTGGCATCCTCCAATATATTTTTGTCCACCTTAATCAAGTCGCCGAAAGCGGTATCACAGAAAATAAAAAGGCAAATCAAACTGCCCCACCAGCTTCTAAGCATTTTGCCCTCCTAAAACTTAACTTAGATCTCAGCTATTTGCAGCATGCACTTTAAATGCGGGAACTAATGCAAGCCAACTAAATTGGCCAATCAATTACTTTGGGCCGGATATGATTGTGTTAATAGTGCATGTGGAAAATTGTTTTAAGTTGGCTTTAATCGATTTGGGAAAGATTTGCTTGCTGCTTCCTTCCTTTTTTCCGACATTTTAGTTTACTCTCCGATTTAGTTTAGTTGCATTGCACAGTAACTTAATTGTTTTTTCAATAATTTTATACATCTTTTTATAACTTATACATTTTATAGAAGTTTATCATTTAAAACTTAAAGTTTTTAACTTTAAAACTTTAATTAACTGCATCATTTATTGTAGATTTTTTATTTCTGTGCCTTTTTATTCATAATTCCTGTTATAGAATTCAAAATTCTAATATCATCCCATATATAATTCTGTATTTTTCGCAATCAAAATCCTGTCCGATTAAACTTCCTGCAATTAATTGGCAGGCGTAAAGCTGTTTGAATTAGAACCGCTCCCGTTGCGCGATCAATTGCCACTGAGCAATGAAATTTAGTCGTGTGCCATTTTTGATCCGAGCAGCTAATTTAAGCTGGCGATGCTAGTTAGTCGCTCCCCTCCTTGAACCGATTCTATCTCACGTGAATCAGGTCAATCAATATGCATAAAACAGCAACCTCTCATTGTTTAGATTGCATTAAACGAGTTTCCCCAGCACGGTGTATGGAAGTGGAAGTGGATATAACAACAGCTTGACAGTTGGATAAGGTCGCGTAAAATTGATGTGAAAGCATAGGTAAACTTATATGCGGGTATTATATAGAATAGAATTTGAAGCGAAACCGGTTTGCAAGCGAAAATAATTATTTAGCTAACACGCTCCTAAACTATTTAATTAAATAAATGTAAGGCGATTAAATGAAATCCAAGGATAGTGACTTAAAGCGATAACTTCTTTTGTACAAGCGTATTCAGCCGCTTATATATTTGTACACAATATCATTATGCAAATGCGTTTATTGAAAAAATTTGTCATGATTAATTAAATGCGATTTATCAATCGGTATACCTTGTCGGCTTCGGAAAAACCATTGGTTATACATTCAATGCTTTAAAACTGGAAAGTTGCAAGGACTAATGCTTTTATTTGATAATTCATATATCATTCACATCATTTAAATATGAAGACATTGACTATCGCCATCAATGTAGGAGTATGAAACTACCGATTCCATAACTCCAAGCACTTGATACCAGAGAAGTTTCATTGCATCTTGGCCCAGATCAGATCAAAGTGGTTAAAGTTTTCATTCGGGACGAGGTACGACGAGGCATTTCCACATCTTCCGGCGAAACCAAAGCTTTTGGCATAATAAATAGCTACCTTTGCCTTGACTTTCTCCACTTCATAAGGAGGAGGCGTCAGGCTTCCATAATGAAGGTAGTTCCACAGTCCGTAGTCAAACTGCTGAAATTTCCCAGAGTTCCGCATCTGTCCGTAAAGGTGCATCTGAACCACGATCGGCAACATCGTTTGGTTCAGTTGCTGGCTATTGAATACGAAAATGAGGAAGAAACGATTCTGGCAGAGGCTGCTGGAAATAATATCCTGCCAGGCAACACTGTTGCTGGGCAGAAACTCATTGTATCCAGCCGATCTAAGGACTAAGACATTAACCAGATATTGGTTAAAATGTAATAAAAACTTGACGATTCATAAACGTTCGGCAACTGCAGTATCCTAAAAAGCCAAAAAATTCACAATGGAACTGCGACAATGGGTTAGGAAGGCCACTGGAGGCAAAGCCTGCATCATAAGGATTTTATCCATGTACTTCGGTTTCTCGCTAGCCAGAATCCACAAGATAGCTGATCCCTGGGAGTGCCCAAGGTAGTGCAACTGACCGAACCCAGATTTCATCAGTACGAAAGGCACTGTGTAATTATCGCCATCAATCAATTGAAACTGGAAAAAAGAGGAACAAACATATTTCAGATAACTATTACCCTTGAATACTTTGAGTATACGAATATGTAGTATTTAGAAACTACGAAAAATCAGGGTGAAATCCGACTTCTAAAGTAAGAGCTATTACCTGCCAGCTATATACTTACTCTCACATAAGTTATGATATATACTATATACTTTTCGAGTGATTCTTTGGAAACCCCTCAATTACAATGGACTTCCTTTGTTTTATTCCAAACATTACTAATAGCTGGAACCCGAGTGAGCTAATCGTATCCAACGATAAGAAGAAATTGGGATGACGAAGGCAGCGACATCTGACTTTATTAGAGGAAAAGTCTATTGATCCGCTGAATACAAGTTCCAAGTGGAAACTGAAGTAAAGTTTTGGGGTACAAAAAAGATTTTTACAAAGGCGATAAAAATGCAAAACTTTAATCTATGCATCGAATTTACTTTTAGCGCCTGTGTCACAACTTAAATACTTTTTTAAATAAATACCATTAATGTTAATAACGCAAAAAGTTATTTGCTTGACAATATCGAATTCAAATTTTTAATGATTTAATTTTTTAAGAATTACACTTTATGGAATTGAATATTATTGTAATTTATTTTAATTCGCTTTCATCATTTGAAAATCGTCTTATTTTTGAATAAACAATAAATACCTAACTAGTCTAAATATAATATACTGTGAATAACTAAATGATAACCATATACCCATACCCCTTTAGATAATTGAATTTTCATGATTTTGCATTATTTCCAACATCCGGTCCCACAAAAGTTCCCGGGCATCGATGCCCCAGATGAAATCCAAATGGTTGAAGTCCTTGTTCTCCACCAGATATTTCTCCACCACATTGGGCAGCATGCTGTACAGCATTTCCACATCCTCTGGTGGGGCCAGCCAATCATTTTGGCCATAATATAGGGCCACCTTGGCTTGTACATTCTCCAGGTGGTAGGATGGCGGCTCAATGGTGCCATAGATCCAGTGGTTCCTGAGCCATCCGTGATCGTACTGCCGGAAAGCTTCAGACCTTTTGAGCTGCCCATAGTGCTGCATCTGCTTGGTGGAGGCTCCGGCCGGAGAATGACCCACGATCACTGGCAGCATAGTCTCGTTCAGCTGGAGCTTGTCGAATCCGGTGGTCAGGAAGATGACGTTCGAACAGATCTCCTTCGTAATGGTCGTCTCGTCGCAGATGATCCGGTTGAACATGCTGATGAACTCATTCTTGGGCAGGAACTCGTGAACGCCAATCAACTTGAGCACCAACTAAAAAGGAAATAATATAAGTTGACATGGACAAGTTTAATGAGAAGAGATGGGGAAGACGGATATTTTGCACTGGATATAACCTTTAAAATAGCTTAGTCGTAACCAATTGTATTTACTGAAATGCCTTCCTTTGGATATCTCAATATCACCGACATTCCAATGCAAAAACGCTCTTCGAAAGGATGGGATAAATAGGATGGGGTAACTTACGCTCACCGATAGGTGCCACTCAGCCAGGAAGTTGACCACGGGACTGCGGCAGTGCTTCAGGAATGCCACTGGCGCCAATGCCTGCATCAGAATGATCTTGTCCATATACTCCGGCCTCTCGCTGGCCATGATCCAGAACACCACGGTTCCCTGGGAGTGGCCAATGTAGTGCAATTGGCTGACTTCCGTAGAATTGAGGATGTAGTCGATCGTGGCGGGCATATCGTGCTTGCCCATCTCATGGAATGTGAAGTCCCAGAACTTGGCATGGTGTGTGCTGTACTTAACGTGCTTTCTCGAGTACGTATTGCCCCGAACATTCGCCATCCAGACATCGTACCCCTGATCGTAGAGCAGGTAACCTTTGGAACAGAGCAATGCAATCAGTACGGGACATTCGGAGATAGCCTATGATCTTACCAAGTCCCTTGTTCGGTCCCATCATCACCCAGGTGGCCGAGCTATCCAGTAGTCCGTGCACCAGAAGCACTGGAGTTGCTCCCGGTCTAGCGATCCTGTGTAGGGTGAGGATGTATCCATCATCCGTCTCCAAGGTGTGATTCTCCGCCGGGTAGCCGTACTTCTTGATCAGACTGAACTGCGGAAGGAAAACGAGCACAAATCTGTAATTAACTCATGTTTTCTCTTATCCATTTTTTATAATTAGACTGATTTCTGATTGATCTCTCTTTAAGTAGATTAAAATTGGATTTTTTAAGTGTATGAATCTATTACCGGCAGTTTTAATCAGTAATTAAATTTATGTGCCCAAATTCATCAAAGTAATTATTTTTCCTAATAATTAGGGAAATGTAATAAAACAAAAGCTCCCTATGCAAACGTAATACCGCAATATAATGCGATGACCGCATTTGCCTAACATCTTGACACCTTTTAGCAGTAAATTTGAAATATTACTACTAGCTCTTTTATTGGCGTTGACATCTACCGATTATTGGCATCAACTTACCGTATTTAAATGCGAATCCTCCATAATATTGGGATCCACATCGGTCTCCAGCCGCACATTGCTGTCCAACACTACAGTTCTTCCCAAAAAGGTCGGTGTTTTGAAGTTAACGTTGAACAGAGTTACGTCTCCGAGTGATAATGATATGGCCACGACGATGCCCGACTGCAGTAGGCAGAGACTAAGGGCCACAATTAGCAATTTTGCCGACATTATTTCAGCAGTTTTACGACCGAGCTCAGCGGGTATATTATTATACAATAGATCTATGGCTCTGTGGATGTGGATGCGATCGATGCGAGGCACAATTGTTGACTGATGGCAGTCCCGATTGAAGGCAACAAAGAAACCTTCTGTGAACGCGAGAAATTCGACACTGCCCACACGACATATATTCGAGTAATCAGCACTCGTACAATACTTTCGAGGGAATTGAATCACTGGGGCACAGTGTAAGCTGTGCCCGCCGATAACCTGACTGCCTTCGTCACTGGCCAATAGTTGATAAGCCGTGAGTCCGGCTCGCAATGGCTTTGACTTTGGAACCACTTACGCACGAGATGTCAAATCCGCCGGCCCCCAGCGGCAACTGAAGAAGATGTTTTGTCGTTATTCCGATTTTGATTTCGATTCCATACCCCAAGGGGATCCACCTTGGCAACATTCGCTCGGCGGGTAAACAAACAATCCAACATGTTGCCAGGCCAATTGATTCGCCCGAGCTCAGCTTAGCTCTTCAACCCAACTCTCCCCATGGAAAAATAACAACTGGTTGTTGCTCTGCTCAGCCGGAAAGAGAAATATGAAATATTATTAATTACAACCACGCTTTGTGAAAACTGTGATTCATTGCTGGCTCGTTTTCCAGATGCATGCAAATCAACAGATACTTTATTACTACTTATTACTATTTGCTTAGAATAGCACCCCTTAACTCTAAGTTGCAATCTTTAATACAAAAATTCTGTAGAGATTAGCACTGAATTAGAACTAATCAGGCAAAGTCCACCCCTGAGACTATAAATAAAAAGCATCAATTAAACTATTATCTGGCTTAGGAGACCTTTAAATACTTGCATTGAGTTGGGAGACCCACTACCACTTTCCTTGATCTCCAC